TTGTGTAGTGACGTGCGTGTGCGTGCCGATGTGCTTTGTGTGGTGTGTGTTGGTCGATGTTTATCTCTCTCTCTCTGCTCCTCTGCTCTCTCTCTCGTCTCTCTCTCTCTGCTCTCTTATATATGTATAGTATGTATATCTTAATAATTATAGTTAATATATATGTCCGTCTCTCCGTCTCCCCATTCTCCATTTCGCATCACGTACGGAAGCATATACCTAAATTGAATTACGACGGCTGCGACTTCTGCCGGTGTCGATATCATGGAGCCAAATGTAATGAGAATGACGTAGATGATCGTTTCTATGGTACACGATACAGGACACGCCCCTTGAATCACCGTGCCACCGGGTATGCACGAGCAGTCGTAGTATACCTGAAGAAAGTCAAGTTAAAACACACGTTACCTCATACACGTAGTGGCGCCATACTACTGTTACTACTGTTACTACTGTTACGACTGTTACTAGTGCTACGACTGTTGACTGTTACTAGTGCTACTGGTGTTACTACTGTTACTTACTATTATTACTACTATTACTACTACTACTATACTACCACTGTTACTACTGTTACCATTGTTATATACTACTCTTAATTACTCCTAATACTGTCAAGTCTACTGGTAACACTGATATTTAAACTATAGCTATAATACCAAGGTTAGGGGTGGTCGATCATTGTGCTAGACACGGACTGCTATATTTAACGCCCCGTTCTTTATTAAGTCGATAAGTCACGGATTATTTCGAGGTGTTTGTAACGACATGCGTAATTGCAGCATTGGCGTCATAGCCAAATAACCATAGCGATATAAATCGAATATTAATGATCGGCCATCTGATGTCAATGGCCTCTTAACCTAACGCTAATGGCTCCCCGAATTGCGAAAAGGGGAAAAAATAAATATGTAAAAAACTTGCGCCGAATATATAATCGATGCGTTCGTATTACCATGACGACAGCACCACTCAGGGGCTATAATTATGCGCCTCTGTTTCCACCTGCTTCGTCGCGCGTGACTCACCTTGGTCGGTCCATCGTCATGGTAACCTTTGCAGCCGGCGAAGCATCCGCTGAAGTAGGTTTCGTTGTTTCCGCACACCGGACTGTACGTGTACATGCCGCAGTAGCAGTTGCTATTGCACTCCATCGTCAGGTTGCCACTGTGAGATTGACACGGTAAAACGTGAGAATCTTTCATATATATATACATATCAGGATATATATATATAGTCAAGAGCTTATAATACCTTATTATTAGTATTATAAGCTCTTGATATAGTATAATATAGGACGATGTGAGCACGTGTCTACGTGATGCGTGCATGCTAGCCAATAATATCAAGAGCTAAGAGTATATTATGTATTATTAATATATATTATAAGGTATTATTAGCTCTTGATATTATATATATATATATATATATCATAATATAATATATATATATATTATATACTTAATCTATATACGTGTCATAGTGTGGACCAAGCGCTCGACCACACACACATCTGGTGGTCAAAAACTAATAATCGCCACAGCTTTGAGAAAGGCGAAACGCTCAGTGTCAATCATATTTACTCATCTCGCGTTGAGTAACATTAATCGAGTTAGCTCTATAATATATTATATATATAATATAATATATATATATATATTATATATATATAATATATGTGGTCAAAAATCCATATGTATAAGTATAATATATTATATTATGCGTGTGTTGTGTTGTGTGTGTGTGTGTGTGGTGTGTGGTGTGTGTGTGTGTGTGTGTGTGTGTGCGTGTATTCGTGTGTGTGTGTATGTGTGTATGGGTGCGTGTGTGCGCGCGCAGTAGCGTGTGTGCGCGCGCGCGTGTGTGTATTGTCTAAGCACAAACTGTCCTCACGAGAGCACGTGCATTACCCGTTGGATTGAATATCTCCGGCATACGTTATGTCTGGACATCCGATCACCATCATGAAGAAGATGAGGATGGCGTAGGAGATGATGCAGCTGAGGATAAGTACCAGTCCTCCTTTGGGTAGGATTCTGAAGCGGCGCATCACGTAACCGCCTATGAGCAGCCCCACGCAAGTGAAGGCGCCGAAGAAACCTGCAGCATTTGTTCAAAGAATCGCTATAGATTTATACGGGAAACACTACAAAAACATGTGGCAAAGTATTATATATAATACAAAAGAATATACAATTCGTGTATAACACGATTAATGAAAATTAATAGATGTATAATAATACGTATAATATTATGATATATATGTATATAATATATATAATATATACAATATATATATAATAAATATAATAAATATAATAAATATAATACATATAATATATATAATATATATAATTTATAATATATATAAAGATTATTAGGTAACTTGCATTAGGTTACTTATTACGTTTGTATAAAAAAAGAATTGCAGGCTGTACATGTTCACTTGCTTATTAAATCGGTTTATTATATTAATCGGATCGGTACATTACAGCATTACTCGTAAATATTTACCCACCAACAATCCTCTCATAGTCGCGCAGACTACAGACAAAAAATACCTGGTTATTGACCGTCGTAAAAAAATTGCTGGGAAAAATTATTGTGGGTCGTAAATCAAGACACACGATGACGTCCAGGAGGAGCGGGTAGTGCGGGTGTCATAGATCGGATAAATTAATTTGCGATTTACTTGTGGTACCTGATGGTTTACATGATTGTAGCTTACCTGTACTTACCTGTGGTACTTGTGGTTACTTGTGGTTAACATGTAGGCTTACCTGTAGCTACCTGTGTTTTATCTGTGGCTTATCTGTGGCTTACAACCTGTGGCCTGTACCTGTGACTTACCGTGTACTGACCGAGTGGATTATCCTGTGGTTACCTGTGGCTAACTTTTGGTTACCTGTGGCTTACGCTGTGGTACCTGTGTTACCATGTGGCTTACCTTGGTTACCTGGTGCTACCTGTGGTTACCTTGGTTACCTAGGCTTTCCTGTGTTACCTGTGTTACCTGTGTGTTAGACCTGTGGTTATCCTGTGTTATCCTGTGGTTACGCTGTGTTAACTGTGGTCTCCTGTGGTACTTGTACACTGTGTTACTATGTAGCTTACGCTTGTGGTTACCTTGGCTTACGCTGTGGTTAGGTCCTGGCTTCAGAGGCGGTGAGTCCGAACTGCACCTCGATGTATTTGGGGAGGAATATGAAGAAGGCGATTATCGTGTAGAGCTTGAAGCAGAGACCGATCGTAACGCACATGTAGACGACGTTGGTCACCAGTCTCCACGTCCGTCCTCCGAGCTCTGTGTGTAGAAAGCAAACAAACATAGGCACTATACTATACTATACTATACTATACTATACTATACTATACTATACTATACTATACTGTATACTATAGCTATAGCATATACAATAAAAAAAAAAATACTATACTATAGCTTATAGCATAGCCTATATCATATACTATACTATACTATACTATACTTATAACTATACTATAGCTATAGCTATACTATACTAATACTAACTATACTATACTATAGCTATGACTATAGCTATACTATAAGCTATACTATACTATAACTTCTATACTATAAGTATACTATACTATACTATACTATATCTATACTATAAACTAACTATAACTTATCTATACTATAACAACTACTACATACTACTATATCTATACTATACTATCTATAGACTATACTATACTATACTAATACTATATAACTAATCTATACTATAGCTATACTATAGCTATACTATACCATATATCACTTATAGCTATACATACTAACTATACTATAGCTATACTATACTATATACTATACTTCTATACTATGACTATACTATACTTCTGACATACTACTATAATAACTATACTATACTATACTAACTATATCATAATACTATACTATACTATACTATACGTATACTATACTATACTATACTATGACTATATATCTAATACTAACTATATATATTATATCGGCAGGGCTACCAATAATATCACGCGCATTAGTTCTGTTGCGTGATTATATTTTTTCATATGGCTATAACAGCGTCACTGCACTTGACTCGACAGAGAGTTGGAATTGGGATAACAAGAGTGAGGCTGCATGATGTCAGCATGGTTGGCTGATTAGGGTATAGGCATAATAATAACCCTATCATTAAACTGTTGGAAGGCCTTACCTACATTGTCTAGACCTTATACGTCATTCTAAGCAATGTATTGGCTTCTCTGAGCTCTATATATATACGACCAGTCTTATCTTGTGCGTATATATATATATAACGCGTATATACTAAAATATATATATATATATCAGAAGTAGAATATAGGATTTTAGGAAATAATAAGGATTTAGGGATAATAAGGAATTTTTTTCCTATTGATCTACTTCTGATATAATGATGTGTTTTCAACGGCTATGTACTGTTTTCTAAAATACATGTATAGATATTCTATTTAGAATGATGTACGCGATAGGCATCTTTGCTTTGGGGCATTTGTTCTAACGATTCCACAGTTCTATGCACGGATTTGATGCCTATATGAGGTTTCATTCCGAATAAGACCTATGCATTTGTGAGTGAAGTTAATCTATATATAGCGGTGATTACCTTGGTATCGAATGAGGGTACATAAGAGAAAATTTGTGGTAACCAAAATTTGTTATTAACTAATGACATCTATGATGGAGGAATACATTTGCTTTGATTGGTTGACCAAAATCTATGATGGAAAGCAAAGGTTTCCCGAGTTCAAATTTATGATTGAAAGAAAACAACACGTTTCTTGACGATTGAATAAATCTATATGATGGCTACATTCCACTAACCTATGATAACGAACACGGCACATTACTGCAGGCGATCACTCCACCCTATGACACTATGTACGAAGAGTCGTACGCTAGTGTCTACGTCGGGGTATTACATTAGCTAAAATTCAACGCTCTTTACTAGCAGCTGTAAACCTGTGAAGGGCGTGGCGCGCTCGCGCAAGGTATGCAGCAGAGCCGAGGATCTCCGCATCCCTCTGCTTCTCTCTCCACCCCTCTCACTCCCCCCGCCGGCTGTCCTCTCGCTCGCGCGCTCTCTGGATCTCTCTCTCAGCGCGTCGCTCATCATAGATCTCTCTGCTCGCGCGCGGCATCTGTCTGCTCTCTAGATTTTCTCGGCTCTCGCTCGCTCTCTCTCTGCGCTCTCTCTCGCTCTCCTTCTCTGATGATCTCCTGCGCTCTCTATCTTCTTCTAGATCCTCTCTCGCTCCTCTCCCTTCTGCTCTCTCTCTACATCTGGCTCTCTCTCTCTCGCTCTCTAGATATCATCGCTCTCGTCTCCCTCGCATCTCTTCGCCCGGACGCCGCTCGTCTCTCTCTCTCGCTCTCCTCTCTACGGTCGCGTCTCGCTCCCGCGCGCTCTCGATCTCTCTCTCTCTCTCCGCGCTCTCTCTCTCTCCTCTTCCGTGCTCTCTCTCTCTCGCTTGTTCTCGTCTCGCGCGTGCTCTGTTACCTCTACCTCGCTATGTTCTCCGCTTTTGCTCTCATCTCTCTCTCTCGTTCTCGTCTCTCGACCACCCCACTCTACTCGCTCGCTTCGCTCGTCCCTCCCTCCTCTCTCTCTCTCCTCGTCTCGCTATCTATCTTAATCTCGCCTCTCCCTTCTTCTCTCTCTCCTCTATCTATATATCGTCCTTCTTTCTCCCTCTCCCTCTCATCTCTCGTCATCCTCTCTCTCTCTCTGCTTCTTACTCTTCTCCGCCTTCCGCCACTCTTCTCTTTCGCCTCACCGCGCGTGGCCACCGCGCCGCTGTGCTGCTTGGCCGCTCGAAGCGTACACCACCGCGCAGTGCCGTGCAAGACAGGCGAGCGAGGTGGCAAGCGTGGTGGTGACAACTCTCTCGCTCTCTCTCTCTCCCCCTCGCTAATCTCTGCACGCTGGATATTGCAGCACTATAAGCACAGCGCAACTAAATCATTCAACTGAGATACCGATGGGAAGAAAATTCTAACTGCTGGCTGTTACTGCCGCGCTGTGTCCCGGCGCGTTCGGCAGGAGCGAAGCGGGTGAGTTCCAATCGAATAGTTTTAGCTTGTTACTTGTTTGTTGCGTTATTATTGGCTATTATGTTGTTATGTTTGGGTTACTCTGTATACGTTCACGCGGCAACAGCAAGATCAACAACATTTGGCAACCCACTAATCTGGATGGCACAGGTGGGATACTTGACAACGTATACCTAGGTCGTTTCTGATTAGTTCCCGAGATTCCTCTGACCAATGCGCCACCACCGACGATTTTGGTCGATTTGGTGTGGGGTTAAGCCGGCAATGCTAAAACCACCCAAAATCCACCAAAATCGTCGGATGTGGGCATTGGCGAGGAATCTCGGACTAGGTTTCTATATACAGCCTATATACAGGGTCTATATATAGGGACTCTAGTATACACGCGTGACATGGGCACACACGCATGACACCAACACACACACGACACACACACACACACACACATACACACAGTCACACAACACGCGCGCGCACGCACACAGCACACATACACAGAGCACGCGACATGACCGAACACATACATACAACACACACATACACACAGTCACACACACAACACAAGCGCGCGCGCGACGACACACGGTGACACCAGCATCACACGCACAATGGCACACCAGCACACACGCACGACACCAACACACACGCGTCACACCAGCATATGTACACACGCGTGACACTAATACACACGTGACACAGGTGCACTCGTGACACCAGCACATACACGTGACAGCAGCACACACGCGTCACACTAATACACGCGTGACAACAGTACACACACACGTGACAGCTCAGCAGCACACACACACACACACACACACACACACACACACACACACACACACAACACAGCACGCTACAACACAGACCACCACACTACACACACACGGCCTACCACACACACACACACACGCACACACACACACGGACACACACGCGCGCGGCGCCGCAGCGGTGCGCCGTGTATAGCCACTACCAGTACACACGTGATCCCTACGCCAACAGCGTCTCGACCAGTAATCCGTATGCGAATTGTATCGCCGGGTCGCGTGCGTTGACACGTACACTGTGAACGAGAAATAACGTAATTAACCAAGAGAAAGAGAGAAAGAGTGAGAGAGAGAGAGAGAGAGTGAGAGAGGGGGAGGCAGGGTGAGAGGGGGGAGGGAGAGAGGGGGAAAGGAGAGAGGCGTTGTAAAGCTTTTGTCTTAAGCGGGAAGTCGAATAACATGACTGCCACGCGCGCCTTATCGTGTGATCTGCTTTCGTTAAATTGAAAAGAAATTCCAGTTTATAAATCCGCCTGTCTTTGTCCGAAATGACAAGATTCACGCGCACGTGTGACAACGACGAAACCATCCTGTCATTGCTAGAGGTGGTGAACAACAGTAGATGGCGTCCATATAGGCAGCAGGCCTGAATAGGCATCGAACAGATATAAATCAAAAAATCACTCACACTGTTACTTCTTCGCCTTTAACAACAGTTCACTTTAATTCATGATTAAATAACTAACAGATTCATGTTCTATCTATCGCTCTGCGAACTTTGCCAAGCTCTATGATGGCGAAATTTCTAACAAAGTTGTCTGATCACATTCAAAGCACCCAAGAATTACTAACCGGTCGCTGGATACGCTACCTGACGGAAATGGCATACGAATACACAACAAGATCCAATCTTAACTTCTAATGTTTCTAGACGTCACGAGGTCATGCTAACTGCGTGCATAATGCAGAATTCTGTGCACGTCTGAGGTGCGGAATTTGGCGGAAAAAGCATAAATCTTCGTGTGTGTGAGGGCCCGGGTATAAGCTCCGTGACGGGTACATGCGTCGGGTGTCGTGTGTTGTGGG